TATATGTGTGTGTGTGTGTGTGTGTGTGTCCGTGTGTGTGTATGTATGCGCATGTGGATGAATACGCCGATCGTCCCGTCGTAAAATCCTTTTCCGACGGCGCTCCCTGGTCATATTTTTAAATACGACAGCAGGACAGGTGCCGACGTGATGGCTAACACATGTTTGGTGTCCCTTCCCTTCCTTGCCTTGGTCCCCCACAAGGCCTCCTCCTCCTCCCTTTCCAGCGTTGTCCGTCATGGCTTCCAAAGTCATTCCCTGGTATAAGCGGAAGAGCCACAGCCAAGTGAAAAGCGATCTGGCTTATCAGTACAGCAGCAAGCGCGTCGTCTCGCTGCAGACGGCGCAAAGGTACGCCGGGACGCTGCCTCTCGCCGCTTGGCCGCGTTTGGATTGGCACGCGTGTGCGCTACGCAGACTTTGGCTGGGTTCGGTCATTCAGCGAAATTCTCCAAATGGTTTGACGTGGTCCGAAAACACTCGGTGGAACCACATGTGAGGGCACGAGCCCGGTCGCCTTCGGTCTTCAGCTTCCCGCTAAGCTTTCTGCTTTTGCCCGAGAGCCCCTTGCCGCTTTGGCGCTTTCGCTTAGCTCGTGGTGGGATGGCTTGTCGCTTGACTTGTTGCCGCGGTTTCTGGTCGTTGCTTCCGTGTCTCGGGTTTTTTTTTCTTTCTTTTTAATGAGGTTATCCGCTTAGGAAGATGTCTGAGAGGCACTGCGGGGTGCCATGTTGTCATGTACTCCAGCCACCGCCGCCGGCCCCTAGCCGCCTCCTTGAGGGTGACCCACTTTTTGACCACAAGCGACTGGAACACCAACTGCCAGGCACACATCTTGCTCCATGTAGTCCAACACTGTAGTCCTCTACCGCAGGGGCAATAGCTTCGGCAGCAAAGCCCAGACTTCCGTCTCCCAAGCCACTTCTTTCAGCTCTTCCCGAGGTGTTTCCCGGGGCCACCTCACATGGTCTCTCCGGCGCGGCCTCCTGCCGCCAGGACCTGCCCGGAACATCTCACCGGGGAGGCGTTTTCATGGGATACCCGAGCCGCCTCCTCTGGCTCCTCTCGATGCGGAGGAGAAGCGGCTTGACTCTGAGCCCCTCCCTCATGACCGAGCTTCTCATTTTATCTCGAAGGGCCACATGTATTCCAGATGTCATTCTTTCAGTCATCATCACCCGTAGTGACCTTCGGTGGCAAAAAAAATAACAGTTCGCTTGCTTGTGAGGCATGTCACAACCGAAGTTGCCACGACAACCGGCGGTGAGGCAAAAAAAAATGACCGCGGCTGACTTTTTGTTCCTCCCGATCAGCAGAAAGTCGCGTTCCCAGTCGGCGAGGCAGATGCAGGCTGCGGCCACAGAGGCGATGGCGGAAGCAGCGTACACCATCCCGGTGTTCCGGCAGAGGTGAGGGTGACACGAGTCGCGTCGCGTCGCGCTATTCTCAGACGTAAGATGACACCCGGCTGCGCCCGCCCGCGGTCAGGATCCCCCCGGCGTCGAGGCAGCAGTAAGTCTCGACGCTTCACTTTCCGCTTGCGGGTAAGCATGACTTGCGTTCAGCGAGTCCCGAGTCGAGTTGGACAACCTTGCTTTCGGTATTGACATTCAAAATCAAAAGAATAAAATTTGGACAACCTTGCTTTCGGTATTGACATTCAAAATAAAAAGAATAACATGTAAACAGGCGTCTCTTGTCAAGTCACGAAGCGTCACGAATACCAAGTGAGTCAAGGAAGTCCGATATCACGGACGGTGCGATACAGTCGCAGGACGTAAAAAAAGCTATTCCTGACGCGATACGATACGATTCCCTCCAATTCCGGTTGGGTGTGATACAATTCTTTCCAAATATGATGTCATACGACTGACTCAGATGATCAGAGGATACGATGGCGATCGCGGCAGTTGCTGTGCGACATCCTTCAATCCGCTCCAATTTTGGTACGATGAACCCTTTTGTCCGTCGACAACGTGATACCATCATATCGTCCATTTCGTTTCTGAGATGACTCACTCCCAAAACAATACGAAGCGGTTGACTCCGCTTGCGATGCGATTTTCCTCCACATGAGTGTGCCATTCATTTGTCGGCACCGTTGTCGCAGGACTAGCGAAGAGATGGGAGAGACCGAGGAGTACCAGCGAGTGAGTCGAAAAGTGGAAAAGGGCTTGGCTGCCATCCAGGAGGAACTCCAAAGGATGAGGATCGCCACCAAGGCTCAAGTGGATAGCCTGGCCATCGACAGAGAGGCAAGAGCAGTCCGTCACCGTCCGCAAAGCAAATCGGGATCGCGATATTGCGTCTCAAAGCGCGCGTCTGCCGCGTCAGGTGAAGGAGAAGATGTACCGGAAAGTGGATTTGCCGCGGGAAATCCCGCGCATGCCCGATTTCATCGTGGCCCTGCGGCCTCACACCGTGTGGGAGAAGATGTCCGTCAAACTCTTCTGCACCGTGCTGGGGACCCCCATGCCCGTCGTCAGATGGTGACACTCGCAAGCTTTTCTCCCATCCAAGTTTGCGCCGCCGCCGCACGCCGTCTTCCGCGACCGTTTATTTCGCCGTGCGCCGCGCTTCCGCGTCCTTGCAAAATTCCACGAGGCGTGACAAACGGCGCCGTCGCGCTCTGCGTTGTACTCCCGGCGCGCCGCGACGCTTCCGCATCATTCCGTGATTCATTCCACGGCGCCCTACGGCGATCTCGCCGAGCGCTGCCGCGATAGCCCAAGGTAAGAAGAAGAGTTCTGCTTGTGTGCAGGTACAAAGGAGGCGTCCCGGTGGACCCTCTGAGCGCTCCGGGGAAGTACAAGATTGACAGCAAGTACGGAGTCCACAGTTTGATCATTAGCAGGTACGACAGCACAAACGAGCTCGCGCGCACAAATTACGCGTTCGGCGGGACCTCCCTGGTCCGTGGCGTTCCGTCATAACGAGGGACCCCGCATACGATTGGAACGCCGTCATTTTTAATCTATGCCACGGGCCACTGACAAATTGACCACGGGCTGCCGTGTTTGGATTAGAATATGGGCCAAGTTGAGCTGGCTGGCCCAATCGTGACAACTTATCATTTGAGTGAAGGTAAGTCATTTTCAAGCCAAAAGAAAAAAAAACTAGGTTTTGAATCAACTCCTTCGCTTCGATGAAGGCGCGGGGGCGATTTCGAGCCTTCGGTTAACCCGCCGTGCATGTTTTTGTCATGTGGGAGGAAACCGGAGTAGCCGGAAAAAAAAGCCTTGCAGGCGCGGGGGAGGCGTTGGCCCGGAATGGGACCCATGCTAACCGGCCGTCCGCCGTTTGCCGCCCGATCACGACGCCACCTTTACAATGATTCCACACTCTTGAATGATTCTCTGTGATTCGTACCTTTGAACACGGGTGGATCTATATTTTCAGGTGCGTTCTGAGCGACACCGCCGATTACAGCGCCGTGGCCACCAACCCCCACGGCACGGCCACCAGCGCGGCCGCGGTCGCCGTCAGGAGTAAGTCGACGCGCCGCACTTGATGTTTCCCCCCGAAAGGAAACTTCTGACGCGATGACAACTTTTGTGTCCGCGCAGGCGCAAGCGGAGGCGCATGGTCCAGCCAGATCGGTCTGGGTAAGAGGACGCTGACTCGAAATCTTACACACGGTCGACACTTTCGAAAACCGCTTTTCTCAAGATGAGATCCCGCAACGCACCTGACCGTGGAGTCAGCCAGTCCTCCAGCAAGCGTCTCCAGTTGGTCCACAATGCCGCCGCTCGCCTCGTGAAACAAAAAAACTCCTTTTGATTCTTTGGCTTTTGACTCCACACGAGACTCGATTTTGAGCTTCCGACGGTCTTCGTTCTCGGTTTATTGTTTGTGATGACTTCTTTTTTTGCTCCACGCCCGGGCTCCTCCGATGATTGCGCAGAGTGGTGGTCTGTGTCTTTGCCGAATTGCAGCCCCCCGTCTGAGCGGGGCCCACTCGAGTAAGCTGGAGGTAAGCCTGGTGCAGTGCTTCCCGGTCACCTTCGGCGTGGAGGGCGAGTCGGCCAGCCTGCTGTGCACCCTGGTGGTGGTCCCCGACCTCCCCAACCTGCCACCCTGCATCGAGTGGTACCGAGACGGTGAGTCGCCCGCCTTCCTCCGCAATGATTCCGCAACCGTGGGAATTTATTTCGGTGATTCTGACACATCGTTTCATGAGTGTGCCAGCCATCCACGACGATTGACCCGCAATTCTCCCTCCTCTCTTCCAGATAAACTTTTGCAGCCCGGCCCCCTGGTGGACATGTCGGTGGCCGGCAGCGTGGCCCGCCTGGCGCTGCCCCGCCTGGCCAAGGACGACGAGGGCCTCTACACCATCCGCGTCTACACCAAAGACGGCACCTCCGAGCACTGCGCCTACCTCTTCGTCTCAGGTGGCCCGTGCTTGCGTGTTAGCGCGTTCGCATTCGATCAAGCGTCGCGTGGCCTCGCGGGGCGGTTTTCCGACTGGCCTTTGATTCGCTACTCGACTCTCTTCCAGACGCCGCCCCGCCGGTGGCCGGGGCGCCCGGAGCCCCCGTCAGCGTCAAGGCTTACGACATCAACTCGGACTACATCCTGGTTGCCTGGAAACCGCCCAACACCGTTAACGAGGCGGCCATCACCGGCTACTTTGTGGACAGGTGGCTTTGCTCTCGTTCGTTGAGCATGTAGCGCGGGGACCCCCTTTGAGCAGTCGCGCCGTCAACGGTCAATGCGGTATTTCTCGCGCAAACGGAGGTCAATGTAATTTCTTCATTTGGATCCTTTTTCAATTCGTCTGCACGAATATTTCAAAAAAAAAAAAAATAACACGTTCACAAATAAACGATTTACAATGCGTTTACTTTTTTTTGTGAAATCAATTTGAAATCTTTTGGCTCGAAAATGTTAGCATGATTTCTCTCTGAAGATGAAATGCATTTTAAATCACATTCAAAAAGTGGCACGGATGATCTTTTGTCAACTTTTTTTTTTTTTCCAAACGTAAAATACACAACATGAGTCGAATTTTTCAAAAATCATTTTTCAGTTGTTCAGTTCGATGAGTCATAAATAATAAGATTGAATGTTTGGAACGATCGTTGTGCCATTGTCAAATCAACAATTGTACATAAAATATCTAAATAATGGCGAATGTAAAAAAAAACAAAAACGTTTAAATGAAACTTAATTTATGGATGACAATTCACATACTTTTACCAACACTCCAGGAACATTTACAAACTATTTCATCAAGCAATTCATGAAATAAAACAAATTAATGCTGCTAAAATATATCATCTATTTTTAAATTGCACCAAATAATCGGCTGATAACGCTTTGATTCATTGCAAAGGATAAAGAGGAGAAAAAAAATGAGCATCCTATTATTTCAACCAAATTGTGGACACCAGTCACTTATCATTATTTTTATTTTTTAATAAAACTCATTCAGTAGCAGCCAATTCTAGACCAAGTCTGAAAAGACGTTTCAAAACGTCTTTGGGAGTGAATGAGTTTGAAATAAACCGTGACGTGGCAGTTAGCATGTGGCGCTAATGTTATTGATGTCTTTATTTTATTTTATTTTTTTTTTCAGGTGCGAGGCGGGGAGCGACTCGTGGATGCAGTGCAACGACACCCCGGTGAAGGTGTGCAAGTACCCGGTCGCCGACCTGAAGGCGGGCCACTCGTACCGCTTCCGCGTGCGAGCCGTGAACGGCGCCGGCGTCAGCAGGGCCTCGCGACCCTCCGACGCAGTCGCGGCCCTCGATGCCGCCGAGAGCGCCAGGATGGAAGGTGGCCTCCAAGGTAATTGCAGGGACGGCAAATCCAGGGTCCGACTCCATTTTTTTTTTTTTTCCCCCCACCCGTAGTGATTGAGAGCCAGGGGAAGTACCGCGTTGTCACCAGGAATCGTGAGTCGGAAGGTACAAGATTCTTGAATGCTCTTTTCTACCCACACCCAACCCAGCCTGCAACCAACCTCAGCCCGCCTTCTCGCTGACACCATCAAACAACCTCGGACCCGATTCTAATCCCACTGAAATCAAAACGAAACCCGCCTTCAATCCACCCCAAACCAACCTTTCACCCACTTTGAATCCACCCTGACTTAAAATCCACTGACCCCGAAAACACACATCTAGCCCGCCCTCACAACTCCTCAGGCATCTGCCGTTCGTTCGTAGGCCAGGCGACGGTTCCCGGCCCGCCCGGCGACGTGCACGCGTCCGAGATTTACCAAACACACGTGGTGCTCAGCTGGACGCCGCCCAGCCGGCGCGGACCGGCGCCGCTCTGCTACGCCGTGGAGAAGGTGTGTGCGTGCGTGCAGCACTCAAGTGCAATTTGGAATTTGAACGTGCTACAATTAGCATGAATGATTGGAATTGTCAAGAATTCCACATGCGTCGGTGCTCCCCTGCCGCTTGGGCACGACCTGGACAGAAGGAACTTCCATCGACACGCGAATCATTCGGTCATTTGCGCGAGACTTGCTGCACGCGATTCGATGCTGTCGCGATGAAGGGACGACGAGAAAGCGGCACGTTCAACGTCAAAGAGCAGTCAAGCGCAAAGCACAGCTTTCAAATCCAAGTCCTTTCTTCACAACGTCACTTGAGCCCAAAGAGATCTCCATCGGTCTTTTGATTTCACAAAAAAAAAAAAAAAAAAAAAAACCCAAAAACTAAACTGGGGTGTGTCCAAACTATGGCCCGCGGGCCAACCGCGGCCCGGGAGGTTGTTTTTATTGGCCCGCAGCAAATTCTAAAAAATATAGTTGAATACGGCCCCGCAGGTGGCGCTCAAGCTCACCTCTGTTGAACCTCTCAGTTCCAACACTAGATGGAGCCAGTAAGGGAAAAGGTGTGCCCGCAGCAAATTCTAAAAAATATAGTTGAATACGACCCCGCAGGTGGCGCTCAAGCTCAACTCTGTTGAACTTGTCAGTTTCAACACTAGATGGAGCCAGTAAGGGAAAAGGTGCTTCTCCGCTAAACAAAATGAAGCAAAGAAAAACATTGACCACAAGTCACCGGAAATGGCGGCACCGAAGAAACGAAAGATAGCGAGTGAGGGCAGAAGATTTCAAATGAATATTTCTTCCAAGAAATCAAAGGAAAGCGTGTCTGTTAGATTTACGACGAAGATTTTGCCGTGATGAAGGAGTATAATGTCCGTCGGCACGACGAGACCAAGCATCGGAGCTACGCGTCGTACACAGGCACCGTGTGTCACCTCTCATGGCCCGAACCTTTGCCTGTTTTTCTGTATTGGGCCCCCCCACCAAAAAAAACTTTGGACACCACTGACCTAATCACAAGCCGATCCCGATCAGTCTTTTGTTCGCCAAAGGCCCTCGGTCGCAAACAAGTCCAAGGTCTTATTGTCGTGCGTGTGGTGTGCCTCAGTGTTCAGCTGCCGTCGCCGTCGGTGGCCCCGGTGGCCCCCGTGAGGCGTGGCATCGCGTCAACGCCGGCGTGGAGCTTCGCTCGCCCCGTTTGGCCCTCTTCCATTTGCCCGACGAGGGCGCTCACCTCTTCCGGGTGTTTGCGTACAACGCATACGGCGTCGGGCGGGCCTCGGAGCCCTCGGAGCCGGTGAGGAAGGCCGACCGGGACGGTAAGGGAACGCCACGGCGGCCCCATACGCGCTACCTTATCCACATCCTCTCGTGTAGAGTCGCTGACGATGTGAGACCTTGTGTTGCAGGTTGCGCGCTGCCTGTTGGTACGTATCGGGGCATTTTGATTCACTTTTGACCTGCGACAGGTTTCACGCGTGTCCTCCCCCTACACTGTGAATGATGGCACCCTTCCCTGGACCCAACGTCGAACGTCCGCGCCCGGTTCGCCGCCCCGTCGCTAACGGCTTCTGCCCGTCTCTCCCAACAAACAGGCGTGGCGTCCGCCCCCGGGCAACCGGTCGCAACCCGGAACACCAAGTCGTCCGTCTTCGTCCAGTGGGAGCCGCCCACGCACGGACAGCAAGGCCTGATGGGCTACTACATCGACGCCCGTGCGGTGGGCAGCAAGGACTGGTTCGCCTGCAACCACAAACCGTTCAAACTCAACAGGTGCTTTTTATTACGGTGCCTCTTTTCTGAGCCCCTCAGGCTAATACTAACGCTAGCTAGCAACCGTCTTAGCGCTCTGTCTCAAAGGCGACCCGAGTAAACGGCACAGCCAACCTTTCCGCTTGGCTATGTTCCCAAACGAAAACCCATGTTGACCGAATTAGCTGGTTAGCTGGCACGTCCCCGCTAGCGTCCCACTTCTGTGCGCTATCGCTAACGGTGAGGCCATTTTTTTCATCACAAACCAACTGAGAGAGACAGTTTTCCACAGTGCACCTCGGCAGCAACGTGTCTGATGTCAGGGTAGATGGAGTTAGCCAGTTAGCTCTTCCATCGGCTCTTGCTAATTTCCATCGTGTTAAACAGAAAGCGGTACATCCCAACAACAACCAGAGGAAACGACAAATGTGATCAAAGTTAGCCAATTAGCGAGCTTTACCACGAGCAATTCTCACGTTTCAAATGCTTACATGCTAATACCACAAGTACAAAGTGTGAATCATGTGAAACTGTCTTCCACACGAGGGGTTGCATCTTTCCAGGTTTGTGGTGCATGGCCTTACGCCGGGGGAGACCTACGTGTTTCGGGTCCAAGCCGTCAACGTTTTCGGCCTGAGCGAAGAGTCCCAGGAGTCGGGACCCATCGTGGTGGAGCCGGCCCTGGGTGAGCACCGCTCCGAAGTTTTGACCACAAACCGCTCGGTTTTCCTTTCATACGTTCGTGTTATATGCGATTCTATTGTTCTGCCAGGTGGGGGGTTTGAGTATGGTATGTATAAAATGTGTGTGCGGAACCCTCCACTGCCCCCCCCCCCTGCCGTCATCTGCCCACCACCTCCTCCTTCACGCGATTTATTGTCCGCGTCACAAGTCACATTTGCAGTTTTGCGTAACACGGATGCACTCACGACTCACCCACCAACCTTTTTAGAACGGATTGTTTGCGCCCACCACCTCCTCCTTCACGCGATTTATTGTCCGTGTCACAAGTCACATTTGCAGCTTTGCGTAACACGGATGCACTCACGACTCATCCACCAACCTTTTTAGAACGGATTGTTTGCATTTTCATCCTTTCCCATTGGTAAAATCATTTGAGATTCAAGTGTTTTGAGACACACGGGTGTGGCGACGGAACAAATGGAACTCGTATCCCAAGACACACCGCTGTACGACTTTGTACGTACAACAATTGTAGTGTCGTATAGTACGGTCGTTTGGTTTTTCCTCCCTGTGATCGCAACGCGACAGCGGTGCCGTTAACCAATTGGATTCGATCAAGTAAGTCCCCACCGAAGGCCCCGCCTGCTTCAAACCACTGACCGTCACTTTTGCGGCAGCCCCCCCCAGCGCCCCCTACGGCATCAGCCTGCTGAACTGCGACGGCTCCTCCATGACGGTGTCCTGGAGCAGCCCCAAGAGCTGCGGCGGCTCCAAGATCAGTGCCTACTACGTGGACAGACGAGACGTCGACACCCTGGTCTGGAAAGAGGTCAACGTGGGCGCCATCGTGGACCCAGTGTGCACGGTGAGTGTCCGGGACCCCCGCGGCACCGTTGTATCGCGACCGACGAGGCGTAACTGGAGTCTGCGAGACGAAGCTTGAGGACCCTCGAAATCTTTAGCAATGAATGACTATGTGGTATCGTTTGTACCTCCGATCTCCGATCGACCACAGTCTAAGAAGGAGGTTCTATTGCCGTTCCTTAGGTGGATAATCTGACTGAAGGGACCTTCTATGAGTTCAAAGTTCAAGCGGCCAACATGGCAGGCGTGGGCGTGCCCTCGGCCCCCAGTCTGCCGATGAAGTGTGAGGCGTGGACCACGGAGCAGCCAGGTGAGTCCGTTTTGGGGAAGCCTCGCCGTCGCGTTCCCGTTTCCATCGCCCCTCGTGCTATTGCGAGCTCGAATGCAAATTTGCGGTGTGTTTTTTTTTCCTCTGCCCAAGGTCCAGCTTATGACCTGACCTTCAGCGAGGTCCGTAGTCATTCCCTGGTCCTGGTTTGGAAAGCTCCGGTCTACACGGGGTCAAGCGCTGTCTCCGGGTACTTTGTGGACATGGCCAAGAAGGGCTCTTGCGATTTTGTCGCCCTGAACGAGAACGCCATCACTCAGCGCTACATGCAGGTGAGATACCAGCCAGAGTGCGGAGGGCTCGGTCCAATCTGGTCACCTGAAGATCCGACGGTTGTTTGCCACGGATTATCGAGTTTGATGGGGGGGTTCTCTGGGATTCGTCCAAATGAGATCGGCAACACCTGTCGGATGTCCGGTCTTGGTCAATCAACGTGATCACCCTGACCCTCATCTTTTGGTCATGACCCAAAGGTCAAGATCGTGAATGCAAGCGGCTTTGTCGGGGGTCCGTTGAGGAACTTGGTGAGGTGGTTGTGGCATCTCTGCGGGGTGCCTTAGAGATAGGTTGAGGACTTTGCGCGTAGGGAGTGACTCGTGGCAGAACGTCATGAGGAGTTGAGGTGGTTCAGGCCTCTTTTGGGTACCTCCAACCAGGAGAAGGCCTCAGAGCAGACCGAAGACACGCAAAAGGGGCGAGGTCTCACGGCTGGTCGGGAAACACATCTGAGTCTTTCTGGTGAAGTTAAGGCGGTTAGAACAAGTCTGGGCCGAACTGCTTGGGGCTTCCGCCCCCAGAATTCGGCCCGGGATAATTGAGACCAACAGATGTACCGCTGTTTTTCTTGCGCTACCTTGGCTACCGCAAAACAGTAAACTTTGGCACCTTCCACCGCTTTTGTAAAACAAAAAAAACTAGCTGTGTAGCAACGTCCCACACGCGCCACGTTGCGCTTCTGCTTTTTATGCGTCCTCCGGGTAAGGTGCCCCTTGTCATCGTGTAGGACACTGAACCGAAGCAAACAAAATGTCCTAAGATGTGGGACAAACGAGAGCAACAAGCTGGACTTTGTCCTTCAGGTGAGCGGTCTGGAGGAGGGCGAGTGGTACGTGTTCCGGGTTCGTGCCGTCAACACTCACGGCATCGGTAGACCCTCCCTGGTGACCGAGGCTGTCTGCGCCAGACCTCCTCCAGGTAATGCCTCCGGCGGTCTTTGTAGGCTCCGCTGAGCAGGTCCGCCTCGACGCCGCTCGCTCGCGTCCCCAGGCACGAAGGAGATCGTGGCCGGTGTGGATGAGGAAACGGGTGACGTCTTCCTGTCCCTGGAGGCCAGCGACGTCAGCCCCGCCTCTGCCTTCGTGTGGTCCAAGAACTACAAGCCCATCGGCGAATGCCCTCGCGTCTCCGTCACCACCAAAGGACGCACGTGAGCTTCTGCACTCGGTTCAACATCCTGTAATTCCTTGGCACCAAAGCAAAACTGAAACATGCCGTATGTGAATCCACGAGTCTCAAGTATGCCGGGAACACCGTTGGCCTCTTTTAGTTCCAGACTGAGTTTCCTGAACCCCGACAAAGACGATCTGGGCCGCTACTCCGTGCTGGTCACCGACACCGACGGCGTTTCTGCCAGCCACACGCTCACCGAGGACGGTACGCCATGACAGGAAGTCATCCTCTGACCGATCCAAAGCTTCTCCCTTCACCTTGGTTTGTCTTTGCCCCGCAGCGCTCAACTCCATGCTGGAGCTCAGCAAAAACATCAGGAACCCCGGTGAGTATCGCGCGCTCGCACTGTCAGAGCATCGCGCACCGCCGACCGGAGGTGCAACGTCATCCGTTTGAGGACCAAAACTTGAATTTGACTTGCAAGTACAGATACTGAGTGTCCGTGCCAATAAATGTCATGATTGAGCAGGGCCGCGTGACTTGCCAAGCCCAAGTGGGCGGCATGACCCTTCTTGCTTTAAAATGAACGGTGACTCGAATCAACCGGCTTGATTTTTTTCCACAGTGACTTGGGAGTCACTTGAAACCCGACCATGAGGAAAATTTGTCTCCTCCTTTGCAGTCGTCCCACTCAAGCACGGCCTGAACTACGAGGTCCTGGAGAAAGGCCACGTGCGCTTCTGGGTGCAGGCCGTCAAGCTGACGCCCGCCGTGACGTACAGGTTCGTCGTCAACGACGAGGAGGTGACCAGCGGCGAGGTAAGCGGCGTGGAAATAATGAGAATCACGATTTCATGTTGCTGAGCAAGGGGAAAAAAAAAAAAATCCAAATTTGGTCTGCCCAAATCTCTGGGAGGAGTCAGTCCTTGAAGGCTTGTGTTGTTGCTTCAGACCAAAATGGCTGACTTGCGGGTGCGAGTCCGTGAGACTTTTCGATGTGCGTCAATCCGTCCGCATTTGTCGCAGGGCCGCAAGATAAGCCACGACGTGTCCACGGGCGTCATCCAGATGATGGTGGAGAATTTCACCCGGGAGAGCGAGGGCACCTACACGGTGCAAATCCACGACGGCAAGGCCAAAACGCAGAGCTCCCTGGTCCTGGTCGGAGATGGTAAAACCCGCAGCCGCAACCGCTCGCCGCGCTCGCGTCGGCACAGACGCTGACGCTTGTTCTTTGGCTTTGTGCGTGCAGTGTTCCTGGCTGCTCTGAAGGAAGCCGAGTTGCAGAGGAGAGACTTTGTCAGGAAGCAAGGTGAGCTACCAGGGTTGGGCACTTTGCTTTGTCATTGATCGTACATTTTCTTTTCCAGCTCTTTGTGATGTTTTTGTCAATTTTGTAGTTTGGTATTTCGTTTTTTGTTTTTTTTTAGGGAGGTTGGGGGGCGGGGGGGTTGTCCTCATCATTTGGGAGTTGCTCACAGTGGACGCGACTGAAAGGGATTTTTTTTGTGGTCCGTCAGAATAGACAGAATAGGATTCTGGAAAAACGATTAATCGGTGGATTAATTTTAGAAATAGAAAATGGATGAAGGAACTTCTTTGTTGGTCCCTTCACGCCGCGGGCAGAACATTTGAACGGTTACTTTGTCTTGGAAATATTTGTTTTGCGTTTTTCACGATGCCTCTCACCCTGACCGACCTCATTTTGGTGGCTCTCGTTTTTCCGAGCGGTTCACGCGGTTTTTCCTCCCCTTTGCAGGCGCCCATTTCTCCGAGTACCTGTCTTTCGCCGTGACCGAGGACTGCGGCGTGATGCTGGCTTGCAAGGTCAGCCCGGCCTCTTTCTTGCCTTTGTGGCTTTGTCTTGCGTCGCGGCGATCAACCCGTGCGCGGGGGCGTGTCTCTTCCCAGGTGGCCAACGTGAAAAAGGAGACCGCCTTCCACTGGTACAAAGACGACGAGGCGATGGTTCCGGAAACTCCGCCCAACGTCATGTCGGGAGCCTGCACCCTTCCCATCCCGCAGGTGAGGGCCCGGCGGGCCACGTTCATCGTATCCGCCCGTGTATCGACCGACCGACCGACCGACGGATTGATTGAGCAATCGGTTGCAGTTCTCCAGGAAGGATCAGGGCGTGTACAAGGCCGTGATCGGAGACGAGCGCGGGAAGGACACGTCCACCTACGACATTTCGGGGCAAGGTACTTCCCACTCGGGGATCCTGTTTTTCGTGCTTGGCGTTTGACACAAATTTCTCTCCTTCCTTTGTAGTCTTTGATGACATCATCAACGCCCTCGCCAGGATCGCCGGTGGGTCCGCACTCGATACCGCGGCGCATGTGATCACGATGAGCATGATGCAGCCCGTATAACATCCAAACAAATCCGAACAAATGCGAACGGGCGGAAATCGCCTGTTGGTTTGGCGTATTTTCACGACATTTGCTTTCACAACATTTGGATGGAAAGCCCACTGCGGTCCAACAAATGAGAAATCCAATTGGTGCACTTAGCTAGCGATGTCCACAACGCTTTACAAAGCCTCTTCAACAATGGAAAGGCTTTCCTTTTTACTTGAAAATAACTTCCAGGATCCCTCGCTGCAGCTTAGCCAACGGCAGAACTCAGTGTTTTTTTTTTTGTTTTTGTTTTTTTTTTGTCTTTGTTTTTGCCTTTGGTCCGGTCTTAAATCCATCCCCCACTGTGTAGCGCTATAGCCTCACCCGAGCTAGCACAGAGCAAGTTTGAGAGTCTACAGCAGCGGTCCCCAAACTTTTTCCTGTGAGGGCCGCATAAGCTTTCGCTTCTGTGATGGGGGGACGGGGGTCAGTCTGGAACAGAAAAAGGGTGACCGCAAGAGTACGGAAATGTAAAAATGGATTGTTTTCCAGAAACCCACACAAAATGAAGCCGCCTCTTGACAGATGAGACTGACAGACGTTTCTTTGCGCTGAAAGAAACAAAAACAAAAACATCGTTTGTCCACTTTGGGTTAAATACCCCTGCATTCTATTTTTCTCTTACCGAACCTTTTCGCCATGATCCCGTTCTCTAGAGGGGCCGGTTTCGAATTTTTTTTTTTTTTCTGGCGTTGCCAGATAACGGCACAGAAAGATGCACCAAATGTCACCTTATTGTATCTGTGTTTTATGAAATAGTTACTAATTAATAGTTAAAAATGAAAACGGTTCAGAACTAAGGAACATTTTATTGCAAAAGCCCAACTTTATTATCAAAGACAAATCCACATCGATGAAAAATAAATCAAAATACTCAACTGTGGTATTTTCAGGGGGCCGGACCAAATGCGGAGGCGGGCCGGATCCGGCCCGCGGGCCGTAGTTTGGGGACTAACTGGTCTACAGTATATTAAATAGCGTGTCGAATATAAAAAGTACGCCATGAGCAGGATTTTGGCGTTGCAGGCGAATCGGCCTCCGAGATGGTGCTCCAGTGTACTCCGGAGGGCATCCGTCTGCAGTGCTACATGAACTACTACACGGAGGAGATGAAGACTACGTGGAAACACAAGTACTGTTTGTGGCGTTTGAGCTCTGTCGCTTGTCTTTGTTAGCGGTGCGTGGCGCTTGTCGCTTCGTGCTGTCGTTTTTTCAAGATGTCAGCCACGTGTTTTGGAAGGTGTTGATTTTGTCTCTTGGTTTTTTTTTAACCTTTTGTACTTTTTGTACTTTTTTTGTCTTTTTTTTTTTTTTTTGTTATACATAGTGGATGTGGTTTCTCGATTTGCGTCACATCATTTTGTAGTGACTCGTGACGCTCGTCAGTAGTTTTTGCACACCGCAGGCTTGAGCGCGAGCCACACGTGTGAGCGGCTCGACCTGCCAATTAGCGAACCTGCCCAAGAGGCCACCGTTGCTAGCCCATGACCCCACCCCACATCCCGCAGGGAGAGCAAGATCGCCTCCTCGGAGAAGATGAGGATCGGCGGCACGGCCGAGATGGCCTGGATGCAGATCTGCGACCCGTCCGACAAGGAGAAGGGTCTGTACACCATCGAGATCTCAGACGGTGTCAAGACCCACGCCAGGACCTTTGACCTTTCCGGACAAGGTAAGGTCTTTGGTGAAGGTGTCCTTCAGATGACGTCACAGTTCGGGACAACTTTCATAGCAGGGCGCATAAAAACCGTCTCGCGGCCCCAAGCCCAAATTGTGAACTTGGTCTCACCAAAGCGCGGGAAATCGGATTGCCATTTTGACTGTCGCATACGTTCGACTTCTGAGCCCCGTGACTCAATGGAAGCTTTGAACGAGACATTGAAATGTCCTTTGTCGTTCGGCAGCTTACACCGACGCCTACGAGGAGTACCTGAGACTAAAGTGAGTCCTTTCTTAGTGTCAATATTGACGCTGTCTTCTCACAGCGTGTTCTTCATCGAACTTGACGCGTTGCCTTCTTTCAGGGCCGCTGCCTTTGCGGAGAAAAGTGAGTATCAGGGGCCCCGATGTCAGCGCTGGCATCCGCTCACTCAAAGTGAGCGCCGCCGACGCTTTTGTTTGTCTCATCAGACCGTGGCCGAGTGCTGGGCGGCCTGCCCGACGTGGTCACCATCATGGAGGATAAGGTACACCGTAAATACCGGCGACAGTGTGTCGCGTGGACGGGGACTCAAATCGTACTTTGGCGGACCCGCACCTCGTCTCCGATTGCAAACGCGGTCCACTGGTTTTTCCCCGTTTTGACCCACATTCATTGCCTCCGTAAATACCGGCGACAGTGTGTCGCGTGGACGGGAACTCAAATCGTACATTGCCTTCCCCTTTGGCCTCCTCCAGTCCCTGAGCCTGACTTGCACCGTGTGGGGCGACCCCACCCCTGAGGTCACCTGGTTCAAGAATGAGCAGGAGGTGGTCTCCACCGAGCACACCAGGATCACTTTTGATAGCGGAAAGTTCTCCAGTCTGCTCATCAACCGGGTCACGCCCGAAGACTCCGGCAAGTATAGCATCAACGTGCGCAACAAGTACGGCGGCGAGTTTGTGGAAATCACCGTCAGCGTGTACCGCCACGGAGAGCAGATCCCAGAGTCCAAGCTGGGCGGGGCCAAGATGGCCACGCCCGCTGTCATACCGCCCTCCAAGACGCCCACCCCCTCATCGTCCAGCCAGTCCCCAGCCATGTCCGTGAAGAGCCCCACACCCGCTGCCACCACCACCCCCAAATCCCCAACCCCAGCCCCCAAATCCCCAACCCCAGCCCCCAAAT